CTCCCAGGCAGAGCTAAAGCTCATGCTGAAGCAGAGCTTCAGCTTAGACTTCTTAAACTCACACGCCGGATCGGCGGATTCCAAAATTTTCAAAAAATAGTCTGGGGACTTTTTTTTAGAAAATATATTGAATCATTGTTTGAGTATTTTTTATTTTTCGTCGAAGTAGGGGGACACGCCCGACTTAACCCCAGCGCGCGGAGCGCGCCAGGGGCGGCGCCGGAGGCGCCGCCAGGGGGCGCCCCAGCGCCGATCCGAGAACTCCGCGCGGACCTCCGAGTTTTTATGTTTGTGTCACTGTTCGCTCGCCTAGCCTCGCCGCCCCCCCGCCGCGGCGGCGCCCGCGCACCCCCCCGCGGCCCGATGGTGGGCCGCAACCGCCGCGGCTCGGCCGACGCGGTGCCCGATCAGCTGCTGTCCTGGCTGGAGCAGGAGGCGGGCCGTCCCTCCTCGTGTCCTCCTCGCCCACCCTGCCTCGTTGTCATCAGAATCATAATCATAATCATATTCGGGATCATCATTATCATCAGCATCATGATCAGCATCATCATTCTCACCACTATCATTGTCATCACCACCACCATCATCATCACTATCATCATCCTCAGCATCATCGTCATCGTCATCGTCATCGTCATCGTCATCATCATCATCATCATCATCATCATCATCATCATCATCATCATCATCATCATCATAGATACCATCATCCTCATCGTCTCAGAATCAGGATCATCCTCATAATCATCATCAGCAGCATCATCATCATGTTCTTTCTCGTCATCGTCATCATCAGCATGATCAGCATCCCCACCGTCATCACCATCATCATCATCATCAGCATCGCCATCGTCATCGTTATCGTCAGCCTCATCACCTTCACCATCGTCATCATGACCATTACCAACATCATCATTATCACCATCGGCAGCATCATCCTCTACATCATCATCGTTTCGATTTCCATCATCACCATTGTCATCATCATCCTCACCATCATCATCGCAGACTTGGGATCAACAATCATCATTACCATCATCATCATCAGCATCAGCATCACGATCAGCAGGCTCATCGGCATCATTGGCATCATCATCACCATCATCGCCATCAGCATCATCATCATCATCAGCATCATCATTGTCATCGCCATCGTCATAGTCATCATCATCAGCATCATCATCATCGTCATCATCACCACCATCGTTGCCATCGCCATTGTCATCGTCATCGTACTCATGACCTGATCATCATCATCACTCTCAGCATCACCATCATCATTACCACCATTGGCATCATCACCATCACCATCGTCGACACCACCATCATCATCATCACCAATATCATTACCACCATCGTCATCAGTATCCCCACCATCATCGTCGTCATCGGCGTCACCATCATCAGCATCACCATCATCATACTCGTCGTCAGACTCATCATCATCAGTCGCATCATCAGATCCATCATCATACTCATCATCATCATACTCATCATCATGATCGCCATCATCGCCATCGTCATCATCGAATCACCATTGTCATCGTCATCGTCATAGTTATCGTCGTCATCATCATCAGCAATATCATCAGCATCGCCATCGTGATCGTTATCGTCATCATCATCATCATCATCATCATCATCATCACCAGCAGCATCATCATCAGTATCAACTTCATCGTCGTCATTCGCGCTATCGTTATCATCATCCTCGCCACCATCATCGTCGTCATCACCACCATCACCATCAGTATCATCAATTGGCATTATCATCACCATCGTCATCGTCGTCATCGGCATCATCATCGTCACGCGGAAGAGTGGAGAGCATTGGGCCACCACAAGAGAGAAGGCTGCATAAATCTGAGTGCGGGTGATCTGCGTGCGAGTGAGTCTGAACACGAGTCCAGATGTGATTGATCTTGGGTGTGAGCGAAACAGTCTGAGTACGAGTGGGTCTGAGTGAAGGAATGTCTGAGTGTGAATGAATCTGGGCACGGGAGAGTCTGAGTACGGGAGGGTCTGAGTACGGGAGAGTCTGTGTATGAGTGTGATGAGTTTGAGCCGAGTGTGAGTGAGTGGGGGTACGAGCGAGATTCATTATAAGCGAGTCTGAGGTTGGTTGGGTCTGAGGTTGAGTGAGTCTGAGTGTCAGTAAGTCTGAGCGTGACTGAGTCTGTGTATAAGTCTGATGAGTTTGAGTCTGATTTTGTGTGAGTCTGAGTACGAGCGAGTCTGATTATGAGCGAATCTGAGGTTGAGTGAGTCTGAGTGCGAGTAAGCCTGAGTGTGAGTTAGTCTGAGTGTGAGGGAGTCTGAGTGTGAGCGAGTCTGAAATGTGAGTGGGTCTAGGGATGAGTGGGTCTGAGTATGAGCGAGTCTCAGCAAGCTTGATTCTGAGTACGATGAGTGATTTTGAGTCACGATGAGGTGCTGACGAGTAAGGCTGAGTATGAATGCGTCTGAGGGAGGAGGAGGAGGTGAGTGAGTGTGAGGTTCGGAAGCATCTAGGGCACACAAGCCCGAGGACAAGCCAGGGGGGCTGAAACCGTCAAACCGCCTGAGACGTCTCCGGAAACTTGACGCGAAAAACGGAGCGTTCCCACCCGTGGCGGCTCCCCCCGTGGGGTGCCCACGTGGCACGCCTGCTCTATCACGGTGAGCAGTGGACCACCCATGTAAGAAGTCTCGGGGGGCAGGAGGAGGAGGAGGAGGAGGAGGAGGAGGAGGAGGAGGAGAGGAGGAGGAGGAGGAGGAGGGGAGGGAAGCACCTCCCCACAGTCTGGGCGCGACCGGGCCCGTGCAGTACCCCTCTGGCAGCTGCCCCCCTGGGGTGCCCAGGGGCCATGCCCTCTTTCTCGCGGTGGGCAGTAGGCCGCCATCCACACGCTCGGGGCGCGAAGCGACCTCCGGGCGGCTCCCCCGTGGGGTGCCCAAATGCCACGGCTGCTCTGCCGCGTTGAGCAGTGGACCACCACAAGAGAAAAGTCTGGGGGGGGGGCAGAAGCAGGCAAAACGCTTGAGGCATCCCGTTCGCGCCACACCCCCTGGTAGCTCCCCCCAGAGGTGCCCAAGTGCCACGCCTGCTGTATCGCGGTGAACAGTGGACCACCAAATTTTCCGAGCGAAGCATCCAACCAGATGCAGCTGTAAGAGGTGTGCTGGGTCGGGCGCGGGTACGCCGTGCGGATTATGCCGCTGAGACCTTCGGTGGAGCTCTTCATGGGGCCACGAAGCGTGTGAGGAATGTCGGATCGGGCGCGGGGACGCCATGCGAACTGTGCCTCTGGGGCCTCCGGGGGAGCTCCCTATGGGGCCACGAAGCGTGTGAGGGGTGTGCAAGAAAGGGGGAGGGTAAGCCGTGCGGACTGTGCCCTTGGCGTCTTCGGTGGAGCTCCCGATGGGGCTACGAAGCGTGTGACGGATGTGCCGAATCTGGTGCGGGCACGGCACGCGGCATGTTCCATTGGGGCCCTCGTCGGGGATCCTCACGGGGCCACGAAGCGTGTGGTGGGTGCGCCAAAGCGGGTGCGGGCTCGGCATGCGGACTGTGCTCTTGGGGCCTTCGGGGGAGCTCCCCACGGAGCCGCGAAGCGTGTGAGGGGTGTGTGTACTGTGCCCTTGGGGCCTTCGGTGGAGCTCCCCACGGGGCCTCGAAACGTGTGAAGGGTGTGCCGAAACGTGCGCGGGCAAGCCTTGCGTACTGTGCCCTTGGGGCCTTCGGGGGAGCTCCCCATGGGGCCACGAAACGTGTGAGGGGTGTGCCAAAAAGGGTGCGGGTGCGGAACTGGGGTGCCTTTCAGCGGCCCACTTCCCGGCCCGCAGTGGCAGCGAGGACGGCGGCGGATCCTGGCAGGGATCGAAGTGGGCCACGTTTCGTCCTGGACCACTGCTCCTGTGGCCAGATTGTCTCAAACCGGCTCGGGCCGAGCCGGCAGCAGCAGGCGAGAGACGGGAAAAAGAGAGAGAGAGAGAGAGTGAGAGCCAGAAAAGCAGACATAAGGGAGATTAAGACGAGGCAGGGGAGATAATCCATATGAATCCGCATTCTTACGACAGCGGGTACGCCATGCGGGCTGTGCTCTTGGGGCCTTCGTCGGAGTTCCTTTATGGGGCCACGCAGCGTGTGACGGGTCTGCCGAATCGGGTTCGGGTGCTCCATGCAGAATGTGCCGGGGGAGCTCCCCATGGGGCCACGCAGCGTGTGAGGGGTGTGTCGAAGCGGGCGCGGGGACGCCATGCGGACTGTGCCGCTGGGGCCTTCGGGGGAGCTCCCCACGGGGCCACGAAGCGTGTGAGGGGTGTGCCGAACCTGGTGCGGGCGCGCCATGCGGACTGCGTCGCTCGGGCCTTCGGGGGAGCTCTTTATTGGGCCACGAGGCGCGTGATGGGTGCGCCACGACGGGTGCGGGCGCGCCATGCGGGCTGTGCCCTTGGGGCCTTCGGTGGAGCTCCCTACGGGGCCACGAAGCGTGTGAGGGGTGTGCGTACTGTGCCCTTGGGGCCGTCGGGGGAGCTCCCCACGGAGCCGCGAAACGTGCGAGGGGCGTGCGTACTGTGCCCTTGGGGCCTTCGGTGGAGCTCCCCCATGGGGCCACGAAGCGTGTGAGGGGTGCGCCAGAACGGGTGCGGGCGCGGCGTGCGGACCGTGCCGCCGGGGCCTTCGGGGGAGCTCCTCATGGGACCACGCAGCGCGCGAGGTGCGCTCGGGTACGCCGTGCGGACCGTGCCGCTCGGGCCGCGAAGCTCGTGAGGGGCGCGCAGAACGCGGGCTGCAGTGCGGGCACGCCGTGCGGGCGGTGCCACCTGGGGCCTGCGGCGGCGGTCCCCTGCTGTGGGGCAAGCGTGTGGTGAGGGGGGTGCCGAAACGGGTGCGGGCCCCTCGCAGCGTTCTGGGGCTTGGAGACGCCCGCGGAGGCGAGGACGTGAGATCATTAGTTAAGTCACCACCCAGCACGAGGAGGAGACAGGAGGAGGAGGAGGAGGAGGAGGAGGAGGAGGAGGAGGAGGAGGAGGGGGAGGAGGAGGAGGAGGACCAGGAGGAGGAGGAGACAAGATTTAGGACCCCAGGGGGAGTGTGGAATGGGGGGGTGGCGACAGCCAATCATCTCGCACGCCTTTTGACCCCCGGCAAGCGGGGGGTGGCGGACTCTTCTTTCTTGCTCTCTGTCTCTCCCTGTCTTTCTCCTTCTCTGTTTCTTTATTTCTTTGTCTCTCTCTCTCTCTCTCTTTTTGTTCTCTCTCTCTCTCTCTCTATCTCTCTTGTTATATCCCTCTTGTTTGTTGTCCCTCGCTCTCTCTCTCTCTCTCTTTTCCTCCCTGCCCCTCTCTCTATGTTTGTCTGTCCCCATCTCTCTGTGTGCCTGTCTGTCTGTCTCCCTCTCTCTCTCTCTTTGTCTGTTGTTTCGTCTATCTCTCCCTCCCACTCTCTCTATCTCTCTCTCTCTCTTAGTCTGTACATGTATTCACACGCCTCCATATGTGTCTCCGACGCTGCCTCCTCCCCGTCTGCTTTTCCCCCTCCTTTCCTGTCACTCTCTCCCTCTCTCTCTCCCTCTCGCTCTCCTGTCCTCGATGCGCCCTCGACCTTCCCTTCGCCCTTGGAGGTGCGGGGGCGGCTGCTCCACATCGACCAGAAGCTGGACGAGGTTCTTGTCCACGCGAGAGGTCACGGAGGCGGCGGTGGGGGCTGGGGAGGGGGCTGCTGCAGTGGATGCAGATCCACGACTCAGGCGATCGCAAGCATGGATCAAGGGGGCGTGGATTAGCGACGGGTCCCGTTTCCATGGGAACCGCCGACTTCCGCCGCCGAACGAAACGGCAAGGGCCGCATTTTGGGGAGGGCACCTCCCCCGATCCATGGATTTGGCGACCGCGCGCCAAATCCTAGACGATAACGCTATCGATCGCGAATTCATGTTTGCGCGCCCCCGAGACGACGACGACGGCCCGACGAGGTGCTGCAGCTGCTGGAGTTGGCCCGAGAGGCCAGTTGTTGCCGTGCGATTGTTGAACATTTTCGGGATGGAACCCAGGGTGGTTGATCTCGTGATGGAGCCGGATTGCACGGGAGCCAGCGGGATTATTCAGGACTGTGCCAGATCGGGCCAGTTTTTGATCGCGGAGGAATTAGCGAAGATGTTGGATCTCCCCTCAGGAGTTGCATCCTAAGGAAGGCCTTCACCACATGGCATCCGCGGCCCACGCCGCGACCCGAACCCGTCGCGTCAGGAACAAGTCACGGCGGACGCGATGCTGATTTTGGCTCGACATGTTTGGCCTCGGGGCCCTCCTTACACGGCCTCGGCACCGTCGGAAGAGCGGCTCAGGATGACACTCAGGAGGGGGAAAAAACACAGACACAATTAATCGTCGATTCCCCACAAAATATGGGAACATATGGGCAGTGGGGGGGAAGACGAAAACCCAGAAAATCTACGAAAATATGGGGAATCCTGTTATTTGTGTGTATTTATTTGTGTGTCCCAGGGCCCCTTCAGACACGCTGGTCCCACAGGCGGGGTTCGGACCCTGCGCGACCACGTTGCGCAAACAAAACGCCTCGCGGGGGGTCTGGGGCAGCGATGATAATCGTTGCGGGGTGCAGGCGTCCTGATCTCGGCGTCCTCGGGCTCCTGGGTTCTGGGGCCCTGGGCCGTCAGAAAGCGACTCGGGTGGAGACGCTGATCCTCGAGAAAGCCCGGGAGTCAAGGACGCCGTCTCCTTCGAGACCCGTTTCCTTCAGGACAGGGAAGGAATATCGGGACTCGCGAGGCGGGCAAGAATCGGTTGTGGACAAGCATAAGCTCACACATCTATGTAAGGCTTGTTTGGGGAATTGTCAGGATTAGGCTGTGACGATGGCCGACGACTCGGAATCGGACTCTCGCTCGTTTCGGACAGAATTCACAACAGACTGCCGAACGCTTCCCACCAAGTGGCGGGCATCGTCTGCACAATGGCAGCAGCCACTATCTATCTCGCGTGACTTTTCGCAGGAGGACGAGGAAGAGGAAGACGAAGATAGTGGGAGGAATGAAATAGGCAGTAGGAGGATGGCCACGACGGCGACGACCAAGACGACTGTATAGATGTCGCAGACGCGCAGTCGCAGACGACGATTGCGCCGACGACGGTTCGTGACCCGGACGACCAACGATGACCGAGACGACTGCGACCTCGAAGGCGACGGGGCCAACGACGCCGGCCACTGAACAGCTCAGCGCGGACGACGACGCAGACGACGACGCGGACCACGCCAAGACGCCGACCACGCCACGACGGCGACCACGACCTCCCCCCCCCCTCCTCCTCCTCCTCCTCCTCCTCCTCCTCCTCCTCCTCCTCGCACCAGTTGCACGCTATCATCTCTGCGCATCCTGGTTCTGGGCCACAGCACTTACTTCGTTGCCTTGATATTGCACGTGCGCGCACGGGTAGGTAGGCGACTCTTCCTCTGGAGCGACGTTCGCTCTTCCCCCTCCTCCTCCCCCTCCTCCTCCTCCTCCTCCTCCTCCTCCTCCTCCTCCTCCTCCTCCCCCTCCTCCTCCTCCTTTTCCTCCTCCTCCTTTTCCTCCTCCTCCTCCTCCTCCTCCTTTTCCTCCCGCCCCCCGCGCCCCGAAGGCCCTCCTCCAAGGCGGCCTTCTGCGGGCTCTGCCCGCGTGGCGAAGCCCATGCGCACCGCCGTGCTCTCCCCGGTGGGGCTCGCCGCCCCGGAGAGCGCGGCCGGGGGAGCTCTCTCGCGGCGGCCGGCCGGCCGCTGGCTCTCGCAGCGGTGGGCAGGCCCCGGGTTGCGCACAGGCAGGCCCCCCAGGGTACGGTGGGGTCCGAGGCCGAGGAGGAGGAGGAGGCGGAGGAGAAGGAGGAGGAGGAGGAGGAGGGGGAGGAGGAGGAGGAGGAGGAGGAGGAGGAGGACGAGGAGGAGGAGGGGGAGGAGGAGGAGGAGGAGGAGAGGGTTTCTTATCTGAGCAGGGAGAGGTTGATGTTCTCGGCCGCTGAACGATTGTGGAGCTCCAGGGGCTTCCAGACCCTGGCTTCCTCACCCTGCTGCGTCTGATGATCTCCACGCCGACGTGGGCGATGCATCGCCCACGTCGCCGATGCGGATACATCCTTGACGTCATCGGCGATGCAGCGTGATCCGTCGATTCCGTCTACGCGGACCCCATCTGGGAGGCCTCTGACACAGACAGCCACCCCAGGCATTCTTGCCTGGCCTCAACATGCCTCAACACCCTGGCGCCGCCTCCGGCGGCGCCCCTCTGGGCGCTCGGCGTCCCAGGGCTGAAGCGTCGAGACCGCCCCGCACTATTCGGGAGGCCGGTTGAGGCCAGCCTGGACTGCCAGTCGGGGCTGTTTGTACGCAACCCGAATTCAGACTCGTGAGACTCATGACTCATGACTTTGATTTCCCAGAGTGCACAGAACGTAGCCCCCCAGACCTTGCATTTGCGTTTCAGAGGTCCCAACTTGCGTTGGCTGGGCCTACCTTGGGCTTTTCGTGCGGATACGCAACCCACACCAACGATGACGACCGACAAGCCGACATCGGGCAAGGTCTGGCCCCCATCTCCCCTGAGGGAACCTTTTTTTTTGTAGTTATATATCTCTCTCTCTCTCTTTTTCTCTTCCCTTGTCTTTATATGTACAATATGATTAGTTGTTGTTCTCTCCCTCTCTCTCTTCTGTGTCTGTATATTTGTTATTTCTCTCTCTCTCTCTGTCTCTCTGTCTCTCACTCTCTCTCTCTCTCTCTCTTTAAATTCCTCGTTTTTTTGTTGTTCTCTCTCTCTCTCTCTAGAGAGCCAGAGAACGATATATATATATATATATGTAGAGAGAGATAGACAGAGAGGAGGTGTGGAAGACGATGGGTTCCCCCAGGGCGGTCAGGAATCCAGTTCCCTCTATGTGTGGTCGGACTGGACGGCGTGATTTTCCCAACACTTGTTTTCGTCTGCCTTCTATCTTTCCTAAGAACCGAGAAGGTGGCCCGCAAGATCCGCAATCGGGCAGGCGACGTTGTCTCCCATGTTTGTCTCCCGAGGTGCCCCACTGTATTCTTTCTAGTACCAATACCAGCCTCCGTTTTGTGTATAATTCGTACAACTATCATTGCTCGTAGTCGTCGGTGTCGGTGTATCAGTCGTACTACGATTCGTAATATTATTGTATCCAACGTTTCCTAGTCACAACAGGGCTTGCACGCGTTCTAAGGGATCCGATAGGTACGCCAAGGATTCGCGACGTTGCCGCCCGTTGCCGCCCGTTGCCACCATTGGGGGTGTGCCGAGGACTCGCCACGTTGCCGCCCGTTGCCGTCCGTTGCCGCCTTTGCTGGTATGCCGAGGATTCGCCACGTGGCCGCCCGTTGCCGCTTCCGGGGGGGGTGCCGAGGACTCGCTGCTCCGACGCACGTTGCCGCCCGTTGCGGCTTCGCTGTCGCCGTGCGTTGCCTCCTGCGCTGCGTGGGTGTGCCGAGGCTCCGCCACGCTGCCGCAGGTTTCCGGGCGTTGCCGCCCGTTGCTGCTTCGTTGCCGCGTCGTTGCCGCCTCGCTGCGCCGTGTGGGGTCGCCAAGCCACGTTGCCGCCCGAGGATTCGCCACGCTTCCGCCTGTGTGCCGCCCGCTGTCGCCCCGTGGCCACGTCGTTGCCGCCTCGTTCCCTGCGTGGGTCTGCCGAGGATCCGCCTCGTTTGCCGCTGGTGTGCCGCCCGTGGTCGCCCCGTGGCCACGTCGTTGCCGCCTGGATCGCTGCGTGGGTTTGCCGAGGATCCGCCTCGTGGCCGCCCGTTGCCGCCTGCGGGGGGGGAAGCCGAGGACGTGCCACGCTGCCGTCCGTGGGGGTAAGCCGAAGATTCGCTAAGTTGCCGCCCGCTGCCGCCTGCGATCCCGCCTCGTGCGCTGTGTGGGTCTGCTCAGGATTCGCCACGTGGCCTCACCTTTCCGCCCTTTTTGCTGCCGGCGGGGGGGCTACGTGCCGAGGAGTCGCCTCGCTGCCTCCTGCTGCCGCCTCGGTGCCGCGTCGTTGTTACGCCATGTAGCTTGTACCACACAGCTTGCACCACATAGCTTTCGCCGCGTACACTGCACCACGTAGCCAGCACAGCCCCAGTGTAAACATTTACGGTGTGGGGTCCACGTTGGTTAACATAGTAGTATCCAGTCTCACTGTGTGTAGCATCGGTAGTACATCGCATTCGCACGGGTAGTATCCGTCGTGCCATGCTCGCTGGTAATTGTAAGAAGCGTAGCAGTCGCACGCGTATCCAAAGTTGGATTTCCAGAAGTTCTATGTTCTCATCCGCAGTCGTAAGAGCACCAGAGATCACATCATACATCTTCGCAGTTGCATTGTCAGCACCATATGTAAACCAACAGTAGTATTAGCATATTGAGTAGCGCGTAGTAGCCTTCGTATTAGTATGCGTGTATGTATATATATATACACACGCTGTGTGCGTGTATGCGCCTTTCCGTGCAGCCCCCTCTGTAAGCAAGACAGACTCTTCTGGGTACTAGCGATATAGTGTGTGCGGTTGTATATATATATATATATATATATATATATATTGTATGCTGGAGTGCCGGGCCTCCGGGCCTCCCCCGGCATGCAGTGACAAATATCCTGCCCCCCCCTTCCTGGGTACCGAATTTTGCCCTGGGGGCCCGTGGCCCGTTTTTTGGTTTTCAGCCCTTTAGGGGGTTCTTTCGCTCCGGAGGGCACTCCACGAGCTTCCACGATGCCTCCAGACGGCCCAGGGGTCTTCTGAGACGACCCAGAAGCGCCCCAAGAGCGCTCCAAGAAGGTTCAGGATGGCTCCAAGACGGCCCCGAGGCCCCCCTAGAAAACCCAAGATTGCCCCAAGAGGACCCTCAAGGGGGCCACAAGAGGCCAAGCTCGCTTCGTTCCCTCAGGATGTATATATATATATATATACATATATATATATATATATCCATTTTCAGCACATTCGCTTTCTCGTCCTGACAGCGCCCAGCACGGCCTAAGAGGGGGCCCCAAGATCGCCCCAAGGCTGCCCACGAGGCCCTTCCAGAGGCCCCAAGACGGCCCAAGAGAGACCCAAGATGGTCCAAGATGCGCCCCAGATGGCCAACGAGGCCCAAAGATGGCCCCAAGAGCTGGAACTCACATTTCGAGCCCCCCGACCCAAGGGGACCCCCGAGACCGCGCCCCAAATGTGTCGCGATCACCTGTGGCCCCAAGCTTGCGGCCAACGTATGTATGTGTGTGTATGCACGGGTGGGTTTCGAATGCGCCTGTGCTTATACACACGCATGTGTGCTTACGCATGTGTGCTTTCTAACCGTGTTGTGTCATCCAAGGTGTTGTGAATTTCGTGTGTGAATCCGGAGGCTCACTAGAACCTAAGTGCGCGCGAAGTGCGCTTGGTTCCAGTAAGAGTGTCATTCGTACTTGAACCCACATCAGGATTGGTAGCGTTCTTCGTAACATGGGCCTTCATGTGCTCATCAGGATATATATATATATATATAGATATATTATAATTAGTATTGGTATGCGTGTCGTTGTTCTTCATGGTATACGCATCAAGGGGTTGCAGTAGTAGTAGAGCTACGATGGAGCATTTGCATTTATATGTGTAGCAGTGCCCGTATGTGTAACGTAAGAGTGGCCCTGGGCTGGAGTGACCTTTGGTGCGCGGCTTCAGGGGCTCCCGTGAAGGCCCAACGCAACCGCGCAAGCCTTTGCTGCCGCGCCGCATCAACGATCGGCGCGACGCGTCTTGAAAGATCTTTTGCGCCAGCGGGCAACCTTGGAATTCAACCAATTGGATTCGAACGCCCCGAATGGCATTTCGAAGGCGCTGCGAAAGCAGACTCTTCCGGGGGCCGCCACGACGGGGTCTGGCACTGTCGGGCCGCGTCGCGATGACGGCTGACCAGGTCCAGCGCCATGGCCAAAACAAGCCTCATCCGCAGGCCTGGAATATGTTTGAATATCTTTGGAGCGCTCGCGCTAAAAGACCCCGATGGGTTCAAACAAACAAACGTATCCAAGGAAACTCAAAAAGATCAGAGAAGATTCCAAGATATCCAAAGATATTCAAACTGGGCGATGTGGGATTGGGGCTGGGATTTGGTATTGGCCCTGGGGCTGAAAACGTGCCGTCCGGGCAACCGGCCCTCCATCCGGAAACCAGCGCACATTGTAGGGTGCGCCGGCCATGCGTTGCTGTCGACTGCACAGGGGGAAAGTAGCACAAAATTGGCGCGCTCAGATGCGAGCGCAACTGCGCGATACGGGTGTCGACGCGAGGTCAAGCCCATTCTAAAGGACAATCACCCGACCCCTTTGGGGCCAGTGCCAAAGGTCACTCTAGCGAAGGGCCACTCTTTTTCGTGTAGTCCTGAGATGTCGTGGGGGCCCACGTCTGCAACAATCGAGCCCTCCAATGTCCAGGGACAGCGCGGGTGGGATCGAGGTCGACGACGACGTCAGTGACGGCAAAGTCTTCATGCTGATGCTGCCGTTCCGGAGGCTCGTGGACGCTTCTGTGGAATCTCGTCGCCATGGCCGGGCGCCGCTCGAGAGCCTCGCCAGGGTGGACCCCAGGTTTGGAGTGTGAAGACCGATTTCGAGCGGATGTTGGTTGAACGCCTTCGATGGTCGAGGATAAACTAACCGGACCCCGCGGATAACAAAGCATCCCCCTCTTAACTCCTGTATCTGTTTATCCACGGGGTTGAATGTGGCTCAACTGCCACAACAGGCGGGGAGGCCGAACTTCACTATCCCCTCCAAAGTTCCTATCGTAGCTCTGATTTTCATCTAATGTCCAGCACCGTGAATAATCCTTATGAATTGTGCGAGGATGTCAGTCGAAACGCACAGTTTCGAAGATTCGCCGACTTCGCTATTATCAGGTTTACATCGGTACCTCCTGGAGAAAGCTTCTTATCCTCCCTGGGCCCCGAACTTGATTACCCCTAGGGGATTATTCTCACAACCATGCGTTTATTTGTTTTAATGCCTATGGAGGCCTCCAAAGATTTTGAAAGTTCCTGGACGCTTACAGGCTTTGACGGCGGGGGTGCACATGACGATGGGGGGGTTGTGCAGACGATGGCGGCGATGACGACGGCGACGACGACGATTGCTTCCTTTCAGCCACGCGCAGAAGGGGGGTGGGGGGAGGGGGGAGGGCTTCTTAGAAGCACCCCTGCTTCTTAGAAGGCGCGGGCCTTATGTGTAGATGTAAGGACGGCGCCTTCTAAGAAGCAGCCTCCTTCTAAGAAGCCCTCCCCCCTCCCTCCACTCCCTTGCGCGCGCCGCCAATCCTTTGATGAGCAGGACGGTACTGGCTACGACGGTGACAGCACTTACGACGATGATAACGAGGACTGCATCTGATAGCGGCGACGTTGAGGAGAACGAAGTTGATTAATGACGTGTACCTTGACATCGACGACGTAGTTGAGGATGAGAAAGGCGATTCTGGCCTTAAACGTATGAGCGGGAAGGTGATGCTGACGATGATGACGACAGTCATGTCGACGCTAGCCAGTCGATTGTGACCAGTGATTGAGGGTGATGCCGACGACGACGGCAATCATATCTGAGGATAGTAGGCGACGACGAGCAGGATGATGATGGGGAAATGTAGGGGGAGCAGGATGAGGAAGTGTTCTGAGTTTGGGTTCCACTGTGAGGATCCCAGCCTTCCAGCTGGCCGTGGCGGCACCGTGTGGCGCCAGCTGGGTCAATCAGAAGAGGCCCCTCGGGGAGGAGGATCTGGGAGTAGCTCCTGCACACCGTGCCGCTCTTCGCAAGCGTTGCTATTCATGATCAGGATGCGGAGCAGCATGTAGCAGGGAGCGGAGCGATGTAGCAGAACATCTGTGACAGTATCTTTTCTGCTACCGATGTTCTTCTACCATGTGAGACACTACAAGTGGTGAAACATTTGTTGAGCAATACTTTCGGGTTAGTTCATCTATGTATACTTATTGAATCGCTTCGCTCATTCCGCCGGCCCGTGATATGGCATCGCTGGTTTTTGTCTGTGTGTTCGTTGCCCATGTTGCGCTCTTGGGGGCGGGTGTCGTTCGGACGTGTTGCGTGGGGAGTTTTGATGGTGAAGCAGTTCCCTGGGGGTCGTCTCTCGATGGGGCGAAATAGAGTCGTCGTCAAGATGCTTCTTTGGGGGGCCTCTTGGGGTCTGTTGAGAGGCCGTTCGGGGGCGCCTGGGAGACATGTTTGAAGCCTTCTGGGGCTTCTTTTGGGCCTCCTGGGAGTCTCCTGGGGCCTCTTGGCGACATCTTGGGGCCTCTTGGAGGCCTCTTGGGGCCTCTTTGGGACCTCCTGGGCGCCTTCTGGGACGGAGGGCTCCATTTTTGAGTTCTCGGTATCCCTCCTGAGTCCCTCTTGGGCCCGTCTTGGGGCCTCTTGGTCCGTCTTGGGCGGCACTTGGGCCGTCTTGAGGGCTCTCTTGGGTCGTTTCGGCGCCGTCTTGGGAGCTTCGTGGGCCGTCTTGGAGCGGTCTTGGGGGCCTCTTGGGCCGTCTTGGAGCGTCCGGAAGCCGAAAAAGCCAGAACACAAAAAACATCGAAAAAACAAATGAAAATCAACGATTTTGGCCTCTTGGGGCTCTCTTCGGAGGCCTCTTGGAAGGCTCTTGGGGCGTCTTGGAGGCCTCTTGGGCTGTCTTGGGGGCCTTTTGGGCCGTCTTGGGGTCATCTTCGGCGTCTTCGAGCGCTCTTTGGGCGTCTCGGGGGCCTCTTGGGCAGTCTTGGGGGCCTCTTGGGGCACTCTGAGCGCGCTCTGGGGAGCCTGAGAGGCCGCACCCAGAAGGAAAACCATCTCTGAGTAGACTTGGTCGGGCGGCGGTCGGGCGGCGGTCGGGCGGCGACCGGGCGGCGACCGGGCGTTGGTCGGGGTACTTTTCGCCGGGGGACCCCCAGGGGCCGCCCCGCGCTCGCGAACTAGAAATACTGTTAATACTGTGAACCAGTTACCGGAGATCTTAGCACGCCCTGGCCCGTTGGGCCGGCGAATTTGTATGTAAAGGTATGTGGTTCAGTTTATGCTGTTCAGTTTGCGTGCTGCAGTCCATGGGATGTTCAATCTATGTGTTTCAAATCACGTGGTGCAACTTATGTGCTCCAATCTTCGTGCTGCAATATACGTGGGGCAATATATGTGGTGCAACCTATGTGTTGCAATCTATGTTGTGCAATCTATGATGCAGTGCAGCCGAATGCGGATGCAATCTTTGTGGTGCAATCTCTGTGGTGCAGTCTGTGTGGTGCAGTCTGTGTGGTGCAGTGGATAATGTGGAATTTACGTGGTGCCGTCTATGTTGTGCAATCTATGTGGTGCAATCCTACGTGGTGCAATCTATTTTGTGCAAACTATGTGGTGGAATTCGTTGTTGTTCGCAGTGAGCTGTCAACTCCACTGCTCGCGCAATCATCCCGCCCACCACGCAGCGTGGTCTGCAGAACCCATGTAACGTCGCTTGCGATGACTACTTGGCGCTGGCTTACGCATCGCTGCGGCCGCGACAGCGCGCGCAGGCTCGTGCGCAGAGCGGCCAGTTAGTCTGGCGTGGCCGACGCGGCCGCGGTGGCGCTGACCGCTGGGGAGATCCCCGCGCGTCTCACCCCGGTATGATGGCGGCGTCGGCGCCAGCAGACGCGGTGATGATATTGGCGATGCTGGGGACGAGGGCGATGTTGACGACGGCAAGGCCAATGTTGGCGCCGATGCTGATCACGACGGTGACGACGATGGTGCCCGCGTGCCGGCGGTGAAAGTGTCGGGTTTCGACACGCGCGCGCAGCCGAGCGGCGCGAGTGGCCCGCATGGTTTTATGTGACAGGGGCCGTGCCCCCCAAGCACGCGCCCAAGGGCGTTCGGACGAATTCGGCGTGCACGCGAGAGGCCCGCTTGGTCGTCTTTGATGAAGGTGTCGAAACATCGTCTTTTGTTCAAGCGATACAGGATCGCAAGAGCGCGCACACATATGTTTTGAGACTCATCTGTTTGTTTTTCCCCACATCAAAAGTGGGGTTCTTGTTTTCTCTGCACACGCCGCGCCGGATCTCACCCCCCCCTTTCCCTCTCTCTCACACACTCACCATCATCACCATCATCATTACCATCAACCACCATAATCGTCATCACACGCACACACTCATCATCATTATCATTATCATCACCAGCAACCACCATCACCATCATCACTACTCATCATTATAATCCTTCATCACTACTCATCATCAAAATCCTCATCATCATCATCATCGTCACCATCATCACCACTCGATCACCCACTCACTCATTCAATGACTCACCCATCCTCAGGAGGCTTCGGAGGCAGTGGTCCTCCGACGGTAGGACCGCCGCCACTCTCAACATCATCGTCACCATCTCCATCATAATCTCTCGACTACCCACTCAGTGGCCATCATCATCCTCATCATCATCAGCATCATCATCACTCATTCATCACACGCACTCCTCATCATCATTCACTCACTCATCATTTCGTCATCGCTCACTCCCTGGCTTGAATATGGAGGTAGTATCAGGCGGGAGCCTCGTCTGTGAGCGCGGGAACCCCTCCCTATGGGGCCCGCACCTCATGTTTTTTAATCCGAGGCGGGTCATCCGAAACGCGTAACTATCGTCAGTTTTGGGCCCTTTGTGGCGAGAATCTGGAGGAAATATCAAGCGGGAGCCTCGTCTGTGAGTGAATTGCGACGAAGTCTCAGGCGGGATGGGGCCCGCACCTCATGTTTTTAATCCGAGGCGGGTCATCCGAAACGTGTAACTGTCGTCACTTTTGGGCCCCTGTGGCGTGACTCTGGAGGAAATATCAAGCGGGAGCCTCGTCTGTGAGTGAATTGCGACGAAGTCTCAGGCGGGAAGCCTCTCCCTATGGGGCCCGCGCCTCATGTTTTTCATCCGAGGCGGGTCATCCGAAACGTGTAACTGTCGTCACTTTTGGCCTCCGGAGGGCTTGAATAAGGAGGATTTATCAGGCGGGAGCCTCGTCTGTGAGTGACTCGCGAGGAAGTCACAGGCGGGAACCCGCTGGTCTGTCCCCGCGGGAGTCCCCGCGCTGAGCCAGCTCGAAGCATGCGAGCTGGAGCTGAGGAGCAGGAGGAGGAGGAGGAGGAGGAGGAGGAGGAGGAGGAGGACGACGAGGAGGAGGAGGAAGACGACGAGGAACAGGAATTGAGGAGGACGACGGCGGCCGGGCGCCAGGGGGAAACCCTTGCGTCCGGACCGGGGGTGGTAACCCATCCTCGGCCGAATCGGGGGCAGGGGTAACCCCTTGTCTCCGGGCCGCCGGTGGTAACCCATCGGCGGCCGAATCGGGCGCAGGGGTCGCCCCTTGCGTCCGGGCCGGGGCTGGTAACCCATCTTCGGCCGAATCGGGGGCAAGGGTAACCCCTTTGTCTCCAGGCTGGCGGTGGTAACCCATCGGCGGCCGAATCGGGCGCAGGGGGGAACCCTTGCGTCCGGGCCGGGGGTGGTAACCCATCCTCGGCCGAATCGGGGGCAGGGGTAGCCCATGGTCTCTGGGCTGGCGGTGGTAACCCATCGTCAGCCGAATCGGGCGCAGGGGGGAACCCTTGCGTCCGGGCCAGGGGTGGTAACCCATCCTCGGCCGAATCGGGGGCAGGGGTAACCCCTTGTCTCCGGGCTGGCGGTGGTAACCCATCGTCAGCCGAATCGGGCGCAGGGGGAAAACCCTTGCGTCCGGGCTGGCGGTGGTAACCCTTCGTCAGCCGCCCACAAAAAAACACTGCGTGTTAGTGGGTAAGGGGGCACAAACGCAATTGTTTGTTTGGCCCGTGCTGGTTTCAATCGGTTGGCCCGGAGGCGCGGCCAGACGCAGACGCAGGCCAGCGCCTCCTGAACGTCCCGAACATGCACAAAACGGGGGACATCCTCGGCGTCTTACCGGCACACGTCGGCATGGAGGTCCGGTTCACGGCCGTGCAGGAGGAGCTGAAGAAGAAGTTGGGGCTCGTGCAGGAGCAACGGGCCACCATCGTGTCCTTCGAGTTTCACGCAGACGACGAGCGGGGCTACGAGGACTGCGCGCCGGGCCAGCTCTTCCGCCCCCGCTACCTACCGCAGGGAATCTGGCTGCAGGTGCACGGCTTCCAGGAGCCCCCGATCTACAAGGAGGTCGCCGAGGTGCTGCAGCAGGGCGCCGACGGCGTTACCGACGACGCCGAGGCCGAAGCGCGGGCGAGGAGCTTTCTCATGTTCAGGCCCAGCGAGCAGGAGCTCACGTGGCAAAGCTCGGGGGCGCACACTGTGCGCCGCTCGGGGTTCACCCTGACGCATGCGTCCTACCTGTCCTCCACGCTGTCGCAGGGCCAGACGCTGCGCAAGGGCGTCACCGTCGACTGCGCCAGGGATGAGGACGCTGGCCGCGCGGGCATGTCGGGCGAGATGTGGTGGCTGCACCTCTACGTCATGTTCTACCGCGCCGCGTGCGTGCGGAACATGCTGATCCTGCGGCCGCCCCCGCGAGATCTCCTGGAGCGCGGGCCGCCGGCGTCGCTGCGGAAGGCGCTCCAGGAGTTCAGAGCGGTGGATTCCAGGGCTGAGGCGGAGCAGCTCGCGGCAGAGCTGGGCTTCGTGCTGCCGCCCGCCTGGGCGCCGCGGCGCGCACCTGGAGGCCCGCGGGGTTGTCCCAACGGCTGGCCCCCGCGCCCCTGCGGCCTGCGCGGTTGTCCCAGCGGCCTGG